CAGGCAAGCTGGACATTCAACATTTTAGAGGAGTTATTGCTTTTCATTCTATGTGGCAGGATGCCGCGACTATATCGCGGCAGCCAAAACTGCTTCCTATTGCCCCAGCCATATGTGTTTAGAATGTATTGTTGCGAGCTTCCATAGCTTTTTTGGTCTGATCGACTTAGGATTTCGATTCGCAGCACCAGTATGCATTATGAAGTAAAAGTACTAGGACGATTATAAGCTTGGTTCGCCCCCCCACCTATGCGAACCTTGATTAATGAGATACAGTTTGGAGATAGCATAGAAAGAAATCTGTGAAGCAATGTGAAGGGAACAACCGGTCTCGGCAGTCCTGCCCATGTTGTCCAACTTCCTTGTATTCGTGTCAATTTATCGCACCACTAGGATGCATATGAAAATGAGCGTTTCAGCGTCATTTTTCGAGATATGCAATGGGAGGGTGACGTACTACGGTTTGCCTTGCAGCCTAATCACGGGTCAACCTCCGTTGGACAAAGCAACAACTTGGGTAGGGCTCCTATTGGGGTGGAAAAGAGGGGGTCGTATTACGCAAGGTAGCGTTAATTTTACATAAGGGAAGGGATGATTTTTTATGCGGAGAGTGGATGAGGTTGGTATTTTGGGTTGTGAGTGTTGAGTGTGAAAATTTTGCATTCGATATATACCCCCTCCCTCCTCAGCTCGACGCCAATTTGTAGGGAAAGTGGGCGCGGGTAGGGCATGCTGTCGACTGGTCTCAGAATCAAATACTATAGAATCGCCCCGGCAGGCGAGGGTGGTGGAGGATGGTGGTGAAGGGTTGACCCTGGGGGGGGGTCGTATCGAGGCCCTCTAGAGGGGAGGGGGTCGTAAAATTTTCGAAATTGGTCCAACGTGACGGTTGACCTTGCACCCAATCGCCATCATTTACACTTCTATTTCAGGCAGAAGATTCAGATTCGCTGCGGTCGATGGCTACAAGTAGGACCGGGGAGCATGCGTCTCAGAAGAGCACGCAACAACGAGCGAATGTCTGCAAAGCATGAACACAAGTTCCTACTGAGTACAACATACAAATTTCTGCCAATTTTACTGCTTGAGCTAATGTAAATGTGTAACAATTAGATAGTTATTGGATAAACCTTTGAGTTGAGTTGTTGCTAATGTCTGTTGGTTGTTCTCTGATGACGTATACCACCTACCTTATCATGGGCATCAGTTCTCCAACATTGCACACCCCGCGATCGAGCTTACAAATGGAAACCCTTGGCTTCATTGTTTCCAATGATTCTTTTGTTACTTTTCTCTACCGGAAATCCGCTGCAATCCTCAACATTTATTTTCGAGCGGAATAACCACGAATTTTTTATCGCGGACCGTACCTTCAAGTTATTTTTGTAGTTTGAATCACTTCTCACGCGCTAGTAATGTTCGGCGGCGAGAACCTAGTTGGGAGTATGGACTTTTCTGTATGCATTGTGGAAGAATAACTTACGGGAGTCAGCCGATGTGCAAGTCAGTGATTTTACCATCCCAATAAGCTCTTCACCAATGAGGTGACCTCGGGGCGATGAAAGGCTTGGTCTTGACAGGTTACGGTACAGGATCTGTTCCTCGAGTCACTCGCAATATAAGCACCGCCACTTCACATCAAACCATAGGACCATAAACCTAATCGGGCCGCCTTTGAGAGTACACACTCCTCTATTGGGGAAGAATGTTGCTCCCTCTTGTGGAAAGTCAAGATGCACAAGGGTGCACGAAGGGACTATAAAAGCACTTCCATCGTTTCGATGATCCCCATACTCCCTCCTCTCAGTGGGGGAGGGAAGAAGGTGGGCGCGTGGCACCATCGTATTGAGTTCTGTGAACCATTGTGTACGGTTGTACTGTTTCTCCTCTGCCTATGCAAAAGATACGAACAGACCCTGTACCGTACGCCGTCACTGACAAACCTTGCGTAAAGTACGCTACAGTACAAAGGGGCTCTACGGTACCCCTTTATTTGGGTTTCAAAAATGTGATAATTCGAACATCATTGAGATGGTTGGTTCAATAGAAAACTGACAGGGGATTTGTGAATGATACCATTTTTCCTCCTTCATTTGGATCTAAAACCTGCCAGTATTAGATTCTCATCTTTTAGTGGATTCTAGAAAAATTTTTGGGACGTCCTGTAAAAGGGCCGTAAGATTTTGTATGGAACACCACTCAGCTGAGATCACGCACCACCCATCAGAGGCGCGCTTGACATCTTTAAAAACCTTCCAATCTCCACCAATTTTTTTCCTTTCTAAAAACCTGTAGTGTAAGATAGGCGGACATTGTGTACTGCGGCTCGGAACCCTTAACTGCGTTCGAGACGAGTAGAAGAAGTTTCATTAGATAGGCAAAGTCAACAAGAATACACGAATACAAGATCATTGGACGATAGGAGGCAATGGTATCGATAGGACCGGGGACCACTGAGGCGAGGTCAGCAACCAGTACACGGCTCAATCCCTACTACTTGAGCCGGCAAAGAGCTTTCTCCCCAGCCACTAGAGCTCTTCACAAGTGGCCACCGAGACCAAATCATCGAGCCACTGAAGCTCCACAAGCGAGCCACTAAGGCTACTTGACCTAAGCCTAGACCCCCTTCCCCGGGCCTTCCGACTCCCGATCATGGAACACCGAGGCACCGGAACTCGGAAACTGGAACCACAAGACCGCAACGTTGCTCCCGGATCATTTTATTGGCGACATTCCGTGCGATCGGTTCCCCTCGGCAAGGGTGCGTTTTAATTGATCCCGCGATCAACAACTACCACCCTTCTCTGATCTTACATGGTTTCGAGGACCAGCGATATACAGCTGACTCTGAGGCTAGCATGTTTCCTTTCTGACAAACCGCTTACAGAGTCAAGTTGTTCTAGGATGCATCAGCTCATAGCCCCCCTCCCCCACGTTACCAGTGTGAGTTGAACTTTTTCGTATAATCCATCAAACGCCAGTCACTTTGCCTTTGGCACTGCCCATTTCGTGCACGTCCCGCCAACAGTAGGCGTGGACTCGCTTAGCTAATGTGTGCTTTGCAATTGGCCCACGCGATATCTTTACTTACAAGGAGGTCGCTCAGGGTGTGCCAAGCTTTTTCAAAATGGTTTCTTGCATGACATTGGGGCACATATGGGGACCACAGAAGCATGGTTCATTTTTCCTGAACGGCTCTCTGAATACCAGAAAAGGGGTCCCTAGTTCGATTCCTCGTGGTGACAAATTTTTGCATTTCGAGTTGACGTTTCCAAAATTCGCGCAAAATGGAGTTAGCATGAATAATTAGTACCAAATTCATGATTAGGAACGTCAGTAACCCTTACAAATAGACTTTGATTGAAAAACTGGTGAAAAAGGTGTGACTAGGGACCCCCTTTTCTGGTATTCAGAGGGCCGTTCAGGAAAAATTAACCATGGTTCTGTGGTTCCCGCATGTGCCTCTATATCATGCAAAAGACCGTTTTGAAAAAGCTTTGGCACACCCTGAAAAACCTTCCTTGTTAGACAGTCTCCTTTCGCGATTCTTCATGCAATAACGAAATCCGTGGTGAACAAACAAACAGACAGACCGAATGAACTTCCATGTAGGGTTAGTGTACAGTAGGAGTTGGCTAATTGCCGCCTTTCACTAAGTTGTAAAATGATTATGGATTTTTTACGAAAAGATCGTTACTCAGTTGCGACAATCAATCACCACGGTCACCTTATAGCACCACGTCTGCAAGGGAACCATCGAAAATTTGCTTGCCTGGATTTTGAATTCATTTGCCGAAATTCCCCTATTTCGGCCGGTCACAGCTCCTACAAGTCGCAGAAAGCGAATCGTTGCCGCGCTGACTATAACAGGCACATCACAATGGGCCTACAGGGCCTAGCAGTACCTGAACTTCTTGTGCGGACCTTTTGTGAGTCATCTTGTATGTGCTAGCCACCCTGATGCCATCTTTTCACTTTCCATCCCTGGACGACACACTTGATTAGGGGCTTTTTCGTCTAAGTAATCCGCTCCTCCGCTACTTTCTAGGCTTTCGTAAATTTGTTCTAATATTTATTCAGACAGTACCCACTGTCGCCTTGCCACAGCCCTCTAATTCTTCGATTTTTTTATCAAAAGTTTCACAAAACTGCAACCACTACAATTTCTTCGATTTCTGAATGAAAGAATGCGACTCTCATAATAAACGTATGTAGTCACTTATGATGTGTAAAAACACATGAGGATGAATAGTTTATTCAAGAGAAGTGAGATGTATGTAGAACCCGCATCACGTCTGAAATCGTAAGTACCCGATCGAAGCACCTGAAACTGCACACGAGAAAAACAGAATTAACGAACACACAGTATATACAATGCAAAACATAAAAAACATGTCCATAAAAATGATCTCTCTCTTCTCCTCATCATTATGAGCTCTTTTGCCTTTTTTCTGCTCTGTTTCTTTCTTTTCTTGGCAACCTCATCTTGTTTATATATTTTATTAACTTTTGGAGAATTTCCGCTCTCTGGCATGCTTAAAATGACAACAGATATACAAAAATTTGAATTACACTAGCTAAATATTCATAACAACGAAAACTAAAGATCCATCGACAAAATCTGGTTACAATTTAAGAAGTTGAAATCAATAACACTCAGTTTTACAACGACCACTAAGACCACAACCTACAACAATGATAGTGGTTTTTATAACAAGATCGAAGAAAAATCGCATCACCACCGCGAAATAAGGGATTCTGGATACAAAAGACCGTCACAGCAGAGCGTCCCTTGCTTGTTACCTCGTAGAATATGCGAACATTGATAGAAGACTTAATCCTTTTTAAACTTCGTCATCCGACTAAAAAATACATTCACTTCTTTGTGGAATTAGAGTAGTCGTAGCGCGCAGTACTCCACTACAGCAACACATCTGACGGGGCTCACCATACTGCGCAGAAAAATTTTCCAAAGAAATAAGCGTATAGTCGCAGCATACCTCACTCTGTAGTATGCTGGCTAGCATCTTGTCTGCACTTAATGGCGAATTTTCACCAGAGCCTCCAGAGCGCCGATGCCATGTCACATCCAGCATCGCTCCTTTGAACAATCCCCCATCCATGACGGCCTGTAGTATTGCATGAGCTCAGCAATATTTCCCAAAATTATTAATTAACAAGATTACGTACCTGGTCCGCGTCTTCCCTGCTACGGAACGTCAAAAGCACCATAGGATCCTTCCCTCTGACTGCTTCAACATTTAGAATGTCACCATATTGACTCATATGCTCTACCTAGTGCTTCTGTGTCATCAGGCTTAACAATAAAGAATGAAGAGAATCGAATAAATAACAAGGTAATTCAAAACCATACCTTAACACGCCTTACTGCAACCACTGTGGAAACGCGCTTTGCATCGACGTCGCCACCTGGAAAATAACAAATTAATATTAGTAAGGTTACATATTTAATATGAGAACAGCATTCTCACCGTCTTCTGCCTTTCGTTTGAGGAGGTTTTGTGTTGGGACCACAGCTACCTTTCCTTCCTGTTTGGAGACGATGGGCTCGCACTATCCCTCCCATCACTGTTGGAGCTCTTTTCTTTATGGGATGTTGTTTCTGACGCAATTACTTTCTCCAATTCAGCAATGCTCTCAGTGCAGCTCTTCAGCTTTGCCGAGAGATCATGAATCTATAAATGGAACGTCATCGAGTGATCTCTCTTCTAACCTCTTCCATGACAACCATTAATGATGAGAAGATATTTCAGAAGATCTAGATATGAGAAGATGCTAGTTTACATTTACCTCCTTCCTTCCTGCAGTAATTTTATCCATCATCTTTTTAACAACGCCTAGGAGCTTTTTCTTTTCAGCAGGCTCCAGAGTATCGCCCTCCGTTTTTAACTAAAATGTATAATATTGCAGCGGTAGAACCCTAACTCATAGCTTTGAATACCTTCATCACCACCACTTTTTGACGATCCACCAATTTTTGGAAGCAAATCAGTTTGACGCTTATGCACGTTGAAAAGTGAGATCTGGGCTGCCTGTAAACAGATGTTGACGCAAAATGACAAGAACGACTAGTAGGAAATTCATCGCTTGGCACCTTCTCAGCTTTCAGTTTGCGTTTTGCTTCTATAATCTTCTCACGAGTTTCCTTCAACTCCTGGTTGACAAATTTCGAGTTCTCAATAGTTGCCATCTGAACGAAACGAATTATTGACACGTTATAGAAACGTTACCCATGAGTTATTTCTAAGGCTAGATACAAGTAGCACCTTAGGAGGCTGTGCTGGCGGCGGAGCTCCTTCAGAAGCAGGCTTGTCAACATTAACGCCGGAGTTCAGTACGGAACGCTGGACGCCCTAAAAATGGAACTGGTCAATTAAAAAATAAATTTGAAGTCCAATAGAGATCGGAAA